GGTTGAGCTATAGGCGCCAAGCCAAACTTCTTAATAGGCATGTGTCTTCCCCTGAACCCTCCCAAAGAAGCGAATGGGGGTCAATTTTACAATTTTTATTATATAATAATGAGCCAAATTGAGAGAGGCTACTTGGAAAAGTGAGGTCTAAGAGAACAGAGGTCTTCTCAAGGAGGCCCCAAAGACACACCTGCAAGATCTTCCCTGTGGGGACTCAGCTCTTAGGAATTTATAGAAACTTGACTTTCTAGAGTCTGGAAACTAAGAGCTTCAGTAAAAGCCCAAGCTGCTTTTCCAGCTTGATTCAAACTGACCAGTGAAAAAGGTACCTGTGGGCCGGAACTTTTGACTGGGGATAAAAAAGAGAAGACTGAGCCAGTCAGGGAGCCTGGCCGTTTTAGACCGTAGTCTGCCATAGCTCTGCCGGCTGGAATAAAGCCCTTCCTCTTTTAAACACAATGTTTGGGTGTTCTTTCTCTTCATTGGGCCTCATCTTCCTGCAACACAACGAGCCCAGGACAGTGTCAGGTCACTAGGGGCTCTTTACTATGTGTTCTGACTAGGAACAGTGCTCAGCTATAACTTGGTTTCTACTCTCTGCCCTAGCCACTCCCCTTTGTCTTCTGTCCTAGCAAGGAGAGAAGCTGAGGGCTGGGAGGGCGCATCTCCCCCAAGGCAGAGAGAAGCTGGGGGCCCAGGCTGCAGGTCTTATCCCCCAGGTGTGGCAGCCCCGGAAGGTGGGATGGGGCCATGTGTCCACGATGGCGGTGGTGCTGCTGGAGCAGAGCCTCTGCTGCACTGAGGGCCTGTCTGGCAGGAGCCTGGCCATGCTCCGTGCAGGGCATGAGGAGGAAGCACCTGAGCTACACCAGCACCACCCAGCAGGCTGAGGCCCATATACCTCAGTTGTACCCGAGAACAGTGTCTAAGTTGCAGCTCAGGAAATAAAGCAATGCAGAAAATGATAATTTCACTTTAATTCACAAGTCAGAATTTGAGGCTGCCTAAGCACCTAGAATTTGAAGGAAAAGTCCCAGAAAGAAAGAAGGGACCCGAACAGAAGAGGCCTAAAATTCTACCTTCCATTTTCCTCTAATCAATTGGCCAATTCCTAAGATGGGCATGAACAAGTCACCATTCCAAAAAAATACCACCCCAAACAAACAACGACAGCACCTAGGAGGATAAAGGCTTGCACAGGAAATCTGGCGGCCATTGTAGCCCTGGGAAGTCTCAAATCGGAGTGAAAGCCCAGCGAGGTGGTTGGAGGTGGTGGTGGGGTAAACACTCCTGGCTTCCAGCGTATTTACCAACCACAAAAAACTTCACCCTAGGATGAATGGCTCCCAGACCGTGGACTGCACAACCTATGAGTGAGGGCAAATGTAATTAGGGCCCAATTCAGGTAGGTACTAACTAAGAGTGAAACCGAGTCTTGACGGGATCTTTCCTGACACATAAATTGTCCAGCTGCCCTCACCCCTCTGCAAGCAGAAGGACTCCGTCCTGATAGTGTCATCTCAGACCTCCGCCAGCCAGTCCTGGCCCCAGGTTGCTCTGCAGAGTTGCCTGTCCCTTGCTAGTGCACCCTAACTGCTAATTATAGCAATGGTGATATCTGTTGAGGCCAGGCTCACTAGTGGTCATTTGGTCAAGATTTACTTATTGATCGAATCTTTTTTTTTTTTTTTTTAATTTTGGCCAGGGCCAGGTTTGAACCTGTCACCTCTGGTATATGTGGCCGGCACCCTGTTCCTTGAGCCACAGGTGCTGCCCTATTGATCGAATCTTGGTCACTTATTAAACACTATATTTTCAGTTTTAGAAAGAGTGGGTTCTTTGCTGTAGAGTAAGTTAGGAACACACATTAATACAAATGAGCAGAGTAATGGCAAATGGGTACATTGGGAAATACCACTGTTCACTTCGAAGCCGTTCATAACCGAACGGTGTGCGGGGAGCCCAGGTTTCAGTCCAGACGTTGCAGGTGCATGCACCCATGCAGCCCTCCGACTCTCAGCTCACCAGGGCCATCCAGTGGCGTCTGCCTGGATGAGGCAGCGGGGAGAGCTGCAGGGAACTGGGCCCTGCCCCAGATACTCCAGGTTCACTGGGGAAGCCAGTCAGCACTAGAACTGGGTGGACTATAACAGGTGCTACACAGATGACAGTGGCATCAGAGGAATGAAATTCTCACCAGGAGTGTGAAAGGAAATGCCACAGGAATATTGGCCATTTGGTGGGGGCCTGAAAGATGAACACTATCCATGAGTAGCTAAGAAGAGGGAATTTGTGAGCAAAAGCCTAGGAGTGGGAGGGCAATGGGAGATGTGAACAGCTAGAATAGCACTCCCAGAAGGCAGGAAAACCAGGGTGCAGACCATGGGGCAACTCAGTGAATGAGAAGGGGCAGATGGGGGAAGGATGGGAATGGGGCTGAGTGAAAAGAAGTTATTCGTACAAATGACAATTGCTTTCATTTCCTCTAAATAAAAATTAAAGGATTCACATTTCCAGATTTTAAAAAAGGGAGGAATCTTAAAATTATTCCCATCAATCAGAACAGAACATTTTAAAAAGCCTATTTTAGTTTCAGAATCCTGGTAAAAATCCATCCATAGGTCTCCACCTTTGCTCCTGTACATTAAGGGCTCCCCAACATTTTTGATGGCACAGAAAGGTCCCAATCCCCCCAAACCCACTAAGCATACACTCCAAATGTGTGTATATTTATTTATGTGGCAAACACCACTCTTCTAATATGTTAACATACGTTATAAAATATGCCACAAGAAAGAATAAAGTTTAAAGAGAAACTAAATGGCATTTTAAGGATATCTCCCCCCTCCTCAGTCCAGGGGTGTGTCCTGCCCCTGCCCTCAGCTGCATGTGCCCCTGTGGAGAACACTAAGAACTCAGGTTTTCAGCTCCAATAAGGTACTGCCCTCGGGCTGCTCCTTTCTCCTTCCCGGGCAGGCTCCCACTGGGACAGACACCACCCCCCCCCCCACGCCTCCAGTTTTGTTTCTCAGCATTACTTTGCTCAGCGCAAGAATCACCCAGGTTTGAGGAGCCCTCTTCGTTCTCCCTTTAGACTTTCTCTTTTCCTTCAACCTCTCTCTCCACGTTCCTCCCCCAACTTCAGGGCAGACTAAGAAAGGATTTACAAAGGAGGGAGGGTACGGAGGAGACAGTGTTTGGCCTTTTGGCCTGAGGCTCTGACCAGCTGCGGACAGCACCCAAGTCACTTCAGGGTTCTTGAGGATGAAATACTGCCATTGTCATGGAAGGTAGGCCTGTGCTGTGCTGTGGATTTTGTCCCCCCCCCCACCTCATTTTGAAATTGGATCCCCACCATTGGAGGTGGGGCCTGGGGTGGGGGGATCCCTTGTATATAGAACAATTCCCTCCCTGTAGGGTGGTGAGTGAGTTCTGACCCTATTAGTTTCTGGGATGTGCTTTACGTAGAAAATGAAAGCATTGGGTAAGCTCGGTTCAGGGCTGAGTTACAGGGCTGTTGGCCTGAGCGCAGTGTTAATAAATGGACGGATCTTTAAACAGAAAGCCATGGCGGCCGTTCCTGCCTCCCCTCCCCTTCAGTGTGCATCCTGTGGAGACCAGAGCATATTCCCTGTGGGGGCCACCGTTTGAGAACCCATGTTTTTAACCCAATTCGTTCTCCTCCCCAGCCTGACTTTAGGGTCTGTGCCCCATTTTCTGGTGAGGGGGCACGCAGGTGTCACAAATTTCCAAGTGGTTTGTGAGTCACAGACTTTTCCCACTCCATTCTCTCAAGAATGAACACAATTGTAAAGGTCTTTTTTTTTTCATACTAACCCGAGAGTCACATCACAAATTAACCTTTTTAAAGTGAACAACTCAATGACATTCAGTGCACTGACAGTGTCGTGCGACCCCCCATCTCATCCCAGAACACTGTCATCACTGGTAGTTGCTTTGCCCACTCCCCTCACCTCCAGGCCCTGGGAGCCACTTTCCGTCTCTATCCGTTTACCTAGTCTGGAAATTTCATAGAGATGGAGTCATATGACTTTCGTTTCTGCTTATTTATTTATCTTTTTACTTAGCATCATGTTTTCAGGGCTCATAGAGTTTTTATGATAATCACCACCACCAGCACAATTAGAAGCAGGAAAGAGCAGCAGGAACATATTTTCTCCTTGGAACAAGCCGGTGGAGACCAGTGTATGTTCCTTGTGGAGGCCACTGTGTGGCTCTGGGATGGGTAGGAAGAGAAATGCCTACTGGAGGGGGGACTGATCTTGACTTCCCTCTGTACCTGGTGAACAGGGTCTGCTCTTGGGATCTGAGAAGTGGGGAGGCTTCTAGCCTGTGTGGGCATAGCAACCAGGGAGGACTCTGAGGGCAAGGGGGGACTGATCTTGACTTCCCTCTGCACCCGGCGAACAGGGTCTGCTCTTGGGATCTGAGAACTGGGGAGGCTTAAAGCCTGTGTGGGTGTAGCAACCAGGGAGGACTCTGAGAGCAAGGGGGTACTGATCTTGACTTCTCTGTGCACCCGGCGAACAGGGTCTGCTCTTGGGATCTGAGAACTGGGGAGGCTTAAAGCCTGTGTGGGCATAGCAACCAGGGAGGACTCTGAGGACCGTACCCTTCCCTTCTTTGGCTTGACGTCCTCAGAGAGGATGGGCAGTGACGTGGGTGTGGGGGACTGTACCGCAGGGCCTAACCCACTCTGAGCACAAAATCCCTGTAGACATGCTTCGCAGTTGTTGGTGTCGTGTGGCCCTTCAAGGGAGATGTCCTTGATTGTAGGAATCTCCTCCATTGACTTAAATCCTTCTCTGTAGCATTTTTTCAGAATCCGGATTACCAGGTTGTTCAGGATCCTTGAGATGTTCTCTTGTGTGAACTCAGGAACCTCGAACGGAGGCTGGGAGCACCTCTTACATCTCTGAGCAAACACCCTCATCTTCACCCTGCCCCTGGAGTTCTCCTTGCTCCAGTGCACATGGAAGAGAACCTGAACGTGGGCAGAGGCCCAACCGCGAGAGCAGGAGGAACACTGGAACCTGTAGAGACGGAGGACAAGGGCCTCAGTGTGGCACCGTATGGCCCAGCCGTGGGCTGCGGCCAGAGGGAGGAAGGAGCTGCCACAGCACAGAGACGTGAATTGGTTGGGGTTGTGGATCAGTGGTGGAAAAAATTACTGAGCCTTCAGCCCCATCTCCATTGTGTCACAGACAACGTCTGTGCCCCACAGGTGCCTGCCATGAAAATAGCAAATCACAAGTCATCCGAACTGGCTGAGACCTTGGCCGTCCTCTAAGTCCACTGTGCTCATTTTAGAGATAAAGCACACTCTGGAAACTCATCTCCCCCAGAGATCCTGTGTGTGTAAGAGGCAGGACTCCAAATCAAAGTAGCCTCTAATGTAAATTTAAATGGGTCAATGAGACAGCAGCCAGATCAGTTCAGAACCCTGAACTGAAATCCACAACTCGATACAGTGGGTGTCAGGTCATAGACCCACAGGGCAGGGGCAGGGCCAAGGGGTCCAGGGTCCTAGAGCAAATTCTCGCTTCATCCATGGGTTCTGCTCCAGGTCACTGAGGTGGAGGAGAGAGCTGGAATGTCTTACTGGGTCCCTGGTCTGCACTTATCACAGGGAGGGTGCAGGGTCCAGTTCTCTCTTTTCCTGCTGCCCCCTCTATCCCAAGTTTTGTTCAAGTTATCTGGAAAACATCGTATTCTAAGCGCCACTGGCCTCAGACAGGGTGCAAGAGAATGACACCTTGTCTTGGCAGGGAGGAGGGCAATTTTCTGAGCTAAGATGTTTAGACAAATACATGTTAGGACAGGTAAAGAGAAAATGTGGCTGAACTCAGAATAGAAATTATGGGACAGGCAGAGGGCCACAGTGTGGCCGAGACATTTAATGACCTTCAAATTACCCATGCACTCTCTCCTACTGCCCAGCCCCCTTGCAGTAAGGTTGGGGTCACTGGGGAAGCTGGCCAATGAAATGAGGCCAGCAGTGATATGTGCCCCTTCCAGATCTGGCCATAGGAGCCCTTGTAAGACATTCTAGCTCTCTCTTCCACCTCAGTGACCTCAGGAGCTACTTGTTGGATTAAATCACTGGTGTTTCTGGGCAGTGCCTGTGGCTCAGTGGTTAGGGTGACAGCCCGAGGGTGGCAGGTTTGAACCCGGCCCCAAACTGCAACAAAAAAGAGCTGGGCATTGTGGTGGACACCTGTAGTCCTATCTACTCGGGAGGCTGAGGCAAGAGAATCGCCTAAGCACAGTCAGGAGTTGGAGGTTGCCGTGAGCTGAGACGCCATGGCACTGTACTGAGGGTGATAAAGTGAGACACTGTCTCTTAAAAAAAAAAAAATTACTGGTATTTCCTGGTCTGTTTGTTACTGCAGCTGAGTTTAGCCTTGCCTGGCTTGATGTCGGGGTACCTGCAGTCTTGATGTGAATTGGAGGGTCTTGGGAAGAATGAGTTGGTCCAGGTCTCCCTCCTATATTTTGGTTCTGGCCTCACCTCACAGGGTGAATGTGAGGACAAAGCAAGAGGGAGAGGCCAAGAAGCTTCAACCACAGCCAGAGGACCTTGCTGGGGCTCATTCACAGTCAAAAGGGGCTAGGCCCTGTTCTGGCCTGAAGTCCTCTGCCTTCCCCTGGGGCATGGTGCTCCATTCCTATGCTGGCTCAGGGTTCAAAGTTCTCACAAATACATGGCTGAGACTTTGCTCTGATGCTCCTGATGCTAGGTCCTGGCCTGGAAAAGTGCGGGCTGTGAGGACAGCTCTGACTCCTCTGCCCAGACTCCTGAGAGAGGTCAGCAGGCAGCACAGAGTCCAGGACTCCACCCCTGTGCCCTGAGGGCAGTCCCCTCACACTCTGCCCCCAGGCGTTGGTGCTCCATTTTCCCACCTGGAAAAAGAGAAGTAGAGACTTGGGATGATCTCTAAGAGTCCTACTTTAAAAGCTCCTATCAGCTCAGGGCAGAGAAGAGCAAACCTGCTTCATGTCGCTCAGCCCTCCTGCTCCTCTGGCCTCCCCGTCGAGGCCCTCTGTACGGCAGGCCTCTCCCCCGGGCCTCCGTGGTGGACCTGTGAGTCTCCCACGGCATGGACCATATGTGCTGCCACTGGAGTGAAATAGCTCCCATTCCTCCCATTCCCTTCTCCTCACTGTCCTGCACCCCGACCCCTGCAGTGTCATCCCTGCAGCCTGATTCCTCTGTTCCGGGCATTAACCCATGCTAGTGCCCAGGCCTGCTATTGCTGTCGGGGTTTGCTGTAATTTGATGAAGTAAAAACTTCTGGCATGATGGCCATCTTACTACTTTCTATAGATTTCAATTTGCAAGCATGGACTAGAACAAGAAAATTAACAAGTAGTCATCATAAGAAATAAGCAAGAATTTTCTGGAATGTGTACCATCACAATTTCCCCCTTACCTGGCAAAGCCCCGATGCTGGTATTGCATCCATCCTGGCTTCAGGGCATTGGGAAGAAGGTCCTTGTCTGGAGTCAGGGTCCATTTGTGCCATGGTTTCACCTCCTGAATTAATTCCTGAAACACCTGCTTCCACACCTCCGCATGCTGAGCCATCTCCGTGGCTGGGGGGTAGCTGGGTGGGTTGAGCTCTCCTGGGCCCCGGTAGGCCTATAGCATGAGATGAGGCTTCCCACTTCAAACAGCAAGAGCTCAGACCTGCTTTCCCTTTGAGGGCCTAGATTCGGCCCATGGACTACTAGCTCTCTGCCCAAGGACAAAGGTCAGTTGATTCTGGCCCCAAGTTGAGAGAACAGCAAACATTAGGCTCCACAAGGAATTTCAAAAGATGTGGGGCAACTGTTCACTAAGCTAGTGCACTGACAGACTGTGTGGGACCTCCTCTCAGCCCTGACCTACGTCCCCAGCTGTCTCTCAAGAGGAAAGCCACACTCTAGGCAGGGAGGAGGGCAGTTAGGAAGGAAGCTGAAAGAAGAGTGGCAGGGGTCAAGAGAGGGGGCAGAGTTTCGGTGGCTATTTGGAACAAATCCACCTCCTTCCTTCTCTCCAGCCCAGCCACCCGCAAGCTACTACCCTTGGGTCCAGCTTTTTCCTCAGCAGGAGCACGTGTGGAAGTCTTCCTTTTCCCCCACCAATTTTGTTTCTCAACATTACAGTTGTTCTTCAGTCCCAGGGGATTGGTTTGGGGATACCCTGTGGATACCAGACCTGGATGTTCAGGCCCCTGATATAAATGGTGCAGTGGTGGCACAGAGCCTCTGCACGTCTTCGGGTACACTTTCCGTCATCTGTAGATTACCCAAGATACCTAATACCATGCCAGTGCTATGTAAGTAGTTGTTAGACTGTATTGCTTTAAAATTCGTATTTTTTCTACCGTTGTATTATTATTATTATTATTTTTTAAGACAGAGCCTCAAGCTGCCCTCCTGGGTAGAGTGCTGTGGCATCACAGCTCACAACAACCTCCAATTCCTGGGCTCAAGCGAGTCTCCTGCCTCCGCCTCCCAAGTAGCTGGGACCACAGACGCCCACCACAACGCCTGGCTATTTTTTGGTTGCAGCCATCATTGTTGTTTGGCGGGTCCGGGCTGGATTTGAACCCACCACCTTAGGTGTACGTGGCTGGCGCCTTAGCCACTTGAGCCACAGGCGGTGAGCCATTCGTATTATTTTTTATTGCTTACTTTTTCAACATTTTCAACTCTTACTTGGTTGAAGCTGTTGATGTGGAACCTGAGGATACAGGAGGGCTGACTGCACCTCACTGAATTCCTGAAACACCCAGATTTGGGAGGCCTTCTTGATTTCTTGATTTCTCCCTTTTGACTCTTTTTCTGCAACCTCTCTCCATGTTCTTCCCACCTATTCTCAACTTTAGGGCAGACTAGGAAAAGATTTACAAAGTGGAAGGGGGGTACAGGGGAGACAATCTGGGCCAGAAGTCCTGGAAGCTTTTGGCCTGGGGCTCTGACCATCTGTGGACAGAACCCAAGTCACTTTGGGTGTCTGAGGATGAAATGCTGCCATTTCTGCGGAAGGACGCTAGGCGTGGCTGCTGCAGAGAAGGGCCCGTGGGTCAACGCTGCTCTCTTCAAGACCTATTTGGAAAACCCTCCACTCTCACCAAGATAATCCCACTCTGGAAACATGTATTTGTCTATATAAACACAAGCTGACATCACTGCCTCTTACCCTGCAAGGGCAGGGCAGGCTGGTTTCTCTCCTCTCCCTGGGGGACGGCTTTGACACATTCCTCCATATACTCATCTCAACCTTCCAACCCAGAAACCCTTCTCCCTGGATCAGGGTCAGGACTCACTGAACCTGACAGCCTGGATAATCGCTATCACTCTTTCTGAACACTGGGCTGGGCCCTTGCCCGGTGCTGGGAAGAGGCAATTTTCGAAGGCTAGGGGCTTTGTACCTGGGGTAAGTAATGAGAACTGGGGCGGGACATGGGCCTCCGCCCCCTCCTTGCTGACCTGGAAGCCTTAGATCAAGTCTTAGTTTGCACAGGAGCAATTTCAGTGTACTGTCCAGTTCAGGTCACACCCCAGGCCATCACTTGGAACCCCCTACCCTTTTCCCTGCAGACACTGTGAGTTGGCAGTGCTGTGCTAAGGCAGAAGAGTGCTGAGAGTTCTGAATGAATACACGAATGAATGAATTCCTGCATCCTCTCGGGGAGACATCTTGAGTTCCTGCCTCCCTTTCTTACCTTTAAGTGTTCATGCCAAGATCACCAAGCACCCCGTGCTCAGTCTCCTCTGTCTGAGGACAAGATGACTAAGACATGTGGGGCTGGGTCCAGCAGGGTGAGAGCTGAGAGCCTGGGTCCCCAGGGTCTCTAAGAGAGGTACCATCCATTGATGTCCAGAGTGACTCGGTCTGGGCAGCAACAGTCATTGGTTTAAACAGTGTATTTGGAAGCAGGTCTGCTTATGTCAGAAGTTACTTTTAAAGTCCCTGTGCTCTAGGTGGCAAACAACAGAACTGCTTGGGGCCTGATACCCACGCTCCACTCTGGCTCCTTGTCCTGTGAGTGTGCTCAGGCCCCTTGGTGCTACTTGCAGTGGCAGGGCTCTGACAGGCTGACCTTGAAGTCTCCTCCATCCCAGCCTGGACCCTGTCACTGCTTCTGGGGCACCTACATGTGCTGTGAACTTGGGCAAATAGGGTCAATTTCAAAAGTCATAAATTAATGTGGAAATGTCCATACTAATTTGTTCACTAATTAAATGAGATGGTGTTTTTAAAACTTGTTCTAATATAAGAGGATATTAATCAAAATTTCCCTCTTCCAATGAATGCTGAAATACTAATATCTATTGTCATAACAACAGCAACAAAAACGAAGCTTTAGGCCAAAACCCCTCAATGAATCACAAATACTTCCCCTTCCCATTACATGTGCCATGGGGAGGTCTCCCATACAGCAGCAGCCCTGCCTGATTTTTTTTCAGTTGAGGAAAGTCATTTTCCACTGAATAAAAACATATTTGAGATAACACAGTGATTAAGGCTTCAGTTATGGGTAGTGCCTGTGACTCAAAGGAGTAGGGTGCCGGCCCCATACGTCGGAGGTGGCGGGTTCAAACCTGGCCCCGGCTAAAATAAAAGACTTCAGTTGTATTGTCTCCAGAGACTTCCATTCACTGTCTTTAAAAAATTAGGCGTCACCTTAAAAGTGACTGATTCTTACAGCTGTCTAGAATATTCAGAATCAGAATCTCCTCTCTTGCCAGGTTCCATTTCCCCTTACATCCATCATGAGTTTTGTACAGTTTTACTAAGGGAAAGATCATGCTGCAATTCAGTAACTTGGAGGACACTTGGCTCAAGGAGGAAATAATTCCTGAGGCCCTGTCCTCTGGACATGAAAATACTCCTGAGCTAATATGAATCCCAGAGCTCCAAGCTGACGGCCCTTGTCTGAGCCTTGCGATGGGAACCCCACAGTAGGTCATGTGGGCTGAAATAGCATTCCTCACAGTTCAGAGCAATTCACGAATGTACACGTCTGCCTTATTATTCATGGATCCCGTATTTGTGAATTTGCTTACTCTCTAAAATCTATTTGTACCCCCCACAAATCAATACTTGTGGGGCCTTGGTAGCCATTCACACATGTGTGCAGAGCAGGGGAATCTGAGTCCCCAGTGGCTGGGGTGGGGCAGTGTATTGCTCTCCCGGCTTGCTTCAGCTCTCACATATAAACGAGTATCCTTTTTGTGGTCTATTTTGCCACGTTTTCCACATTGTTATGCTTTTTGTTAGTAATTTTGCTTTTTCGAATGTTCCTCCAGCATAGTGCTGTCTAGTGTTCCTAAGAGCAATGAGGCTGTGACAGGTCTTACAGAGAAAGGGCTGTAAACAAGCTCTGGTCAGGCCTGAGTTATAACGCTGTTGGTCATGAGTTCAGTGTTAATCAGTCAACAAGTTATACTAATTATGGGGTCTTTGAACAGAAGTAATGTAAGATCATGTACTGCCCCAAATGTTGTGACCAAGGGCTTGAGGAACCTGTGTGTTTCCTTTAGGAGCAATGGCATAGTATCCACTAGCTCAGTGTTTCTGGAAATGTTCTAGACCTTAACTACATAACTAGTAGGAGTGATAAGAATGACTTGAACTCTCCTTTGTCCATCCAGGGATTACTTTTCCTCTTGTCTTTCTCTGGAGTGAGCTGGGTTGGTGAGGTCAAATTACTGCTCACTGTTACTCAGTTTGATCCAGAAAGTTTACTAACTATGAGTATAGTTGGAGCTGTGGGGCAGCTTATGTGTGGCAAGTGGGGTGGAGTTAGGTTTCACAGGCTCCCAAGGGATCAGCTAATTTGAATGATTTTGAGGGTACGAGAGTACCCCTAGTTGTCTGGTACTTGGCATTGGGGCAGTGAGTGTGGGTGCACAGTGGTCAGGAGTGTGAGAGCCCAATAAGGACAGGCTTGGGGTGTGGATTTAGTCAGCTGCTCAAGAAGGGGAATTGACCCCCTCTAGCCAGGGCATCAAAACTGGGTCAGCCAGCATTACCAAACCAAACCAAACTGTATTACAAGGTCATCCTGGATTTAGAATAAGCCCTAAACCTCATGACAGGTGTGCTTATAAGAGAGAGCCAGAGGTGGAATATGACACAGAGACACAGGAGCAGGTCATGTGCAGACAGGAGCAGAGGCTGGAGTCACACAGCCACAAACCAAGGCAGGCCTGGAGCCGGAGGAGGCAAGAAAGGTTTCTCCCTAGAGCCTTTAGAGGGAGCATGGTCCTACTGACACTTTGATTTTGGACTTCTTGTCTCCCGAACTCTGAGAGAATACATTTTTATGGTTTTAAGGCACCCAGCTTGTGATATTCGCATGGAAGCCTTGCAAATAGAGGAGTTTAAGCCAGTCCTTCCCAGCCTTCCTGGTCCTGAGGCTTGGTGCCATCTGCCTGCTTCTCCAACAGGTACAAGGAATGGAGAAGCAATGCCAGCTCCCTCCTGTGCTAGAGCAGCCCCTCCTCTCCCTGGCTGCTACCACTCCCTCTGGTCCAGAACTTCACTATTTGTTGACCGGACAATTTAAATAGCCCCATGACTCATATTCTTTACTGAGTGCTGTGTGTCCAAAGTTGTCTTTGCAGGGCAGCACCTGTGGCTCAGAGGGTAGGGCACCAGCCCCGTATAATGAGGGTGGCGGGTTCAAACTTGGCCCCAGCCAAACTGCAACAAAAAAATAGCTGGGCATTGTGGCGGGTGCCTGTAGTCCCAGTT